GGCATCAGGGTTTTTTAGAGTGCAAGGAAAAATTTTTTATCTTCCAGCTACAGTTTGCTAGCAGCATCTTTTGGTTTTAAATGCCTAATGATCTGCTCTTCCAGTGGAGGTCATGAAAATAAATTTTAGACTGGCCAAACAACCCCTTGAAGTTCAGTTTACCTTCTGCCAGACTTCTGAAAAATGGTAATGTCATTCTGCAATGCCCTCTGCTGGGAGATGCAGCCTGGAGCTGGAAGGAGAGCTACCAATTCCCATCCTCCAGCAAGGAACAGATATTTGCAATGAGATGGACTGAATTTTCACCTTCTGTATGAAATCCTGACCCTGATGAAATCAGTGAGGTCCTAGCTTTTAATTTTCACTTTGCCCTTAAACATTCTTCCTTCTGAAAACTGCACTGGGAAAAAAAAAAAAAAAAAAACCAAAAAAAAACCTGTTTATTTGTTTATTTCAAGTCCAAATGAAAACCTCATTACTCATAGACATAAAGATCTCTTTTTAGCATTTGAGCTCTAGAGGGAGGTTTTATGAAGAAGCTTTCACCTGAAAAAGTCTTTCTTCTTCTTGCCATTCTTCTAAGTCTTTTAACTATAAAAATCTCTACAAAATCACACATGCAAATGGCATTCATATTATACAGGTATGATTCTGCCTAACATATATTTTCACTGACCAGGATTCTTGTAAAAAAAAAAAAAGAAAAGATTCTTGTAAAAAATAAAAGAAAGCTATACAGTGAAACAAAGTTCACTGCTATGCAGTGAAATAAAAGAGTGTATCTGGAACCCGATGTGTGACAACACCAGCCCTGCCAGCTGCCACATCTGTCTGCCCTGGAGAGGCAGTATCCTGGGGCCTCAGGAAGAAAAATCTGGATCTGCCCCACTGAGGAGCAGGATATTAGTGTGGAGCTCACACAAACAGCACCTTCACCCCCACAAGCACACTCACACCATGCCTCTGTGGCTTAGGGAATAGCTTTTCCTAGTTCACAACTCTTCTAGAGAATCATCCCTGAAAAATATTTTCCAGCCTTGGCAAGGGAACACTATCTCTGTTTTGGTTTCAGCTCCTTCAGCTAGGCTGGTTTTACATGATGTTTGTCTCTCACCACAGCTGTGCAGTGGGCATCCAGCAGGAAGAATTTTTCCACAGTAGACCCCAGCCCTCTGTGCTTGATGCTTTCTCCTTCCTACTCATGTTCTCATAGCCTAGGTCCTACCTGGCAGGCCAATTATCTTATATTTCCTACTTATTATTATTTCTATCGGTTAAATGGAAACATTTTCACCTTGTGATATGTTCTCTGCACTGACCTGCTGTATCACCATGTGCCTCCCTTGGCTCCACTTTACAGGGACTGACACCCTTGGTGCCAGAGAATGCAGGTGCAGTAAAGCTGCACACTGCCTGGCAACACCATTTTTATTTGAAGTTACACATAATTATCATTGATTTGAAAGTGTGATCTCCTTGTTACACAGCCTTACAAGATGACAGTTTTTTTCCAGAAACTACTTTCCAGTGTTTGTCATGCCCTCACAGGGATCGAAATGTTATGGTTATAAGAAGCTTTGAGGATTATGCCACATTCATTAAAAGGCCCCCAGACAAGTATTTTTTTTGTTTTGTATACTGTCCTGAAAAATCTTCTGCTTCTCCTGGTAAGCACCATGTCACACTCATTTGAAAATGAACATGTATGTTTACAAACATCCAAAAGTGAGTTGACCCCTCACAGCAAGGACTAAGATTTCCATTCTGGACACTTAACTGTTCTTCTCAGGAAGAGTTTCCTTTACAAGAGAACTGTGTAGCCCAGGCAACAGGTGGTGGCTGCTCACATACTCTAACCTTGAAATTATTAATTGAGAGGAAGGTTGGAAGTAACTGGAAGTTTTTCCAGTCCTCATGCCCCTCATGGGTAAGGCAGCTGTGCCAGCAAACTGAACTGAAAATCCACCCTCTCAGCTGGCACCTTCAATGGAAGCATTGACAGTGAAGTCCAAGACTGGGATAGCCTCCAGTTTAAGCTGTCCTTTGATCTGAGTCTGTCTCTCAACATCACAAACCAGTGTTATATGAGGAATCTTGTACATACTGTTGGTTTTGCTGCTTTCAAGAAGCTGTCTCCCAGTCTGGTATCTTTCATTAAAAAAATTTAATTCACAGGAATGCTTGCTAGTTGTTAAATATATGGCCAAAAATCTAGATTTAGCCCTGAATTTTCTCATGTAGATGCACTGTACTACTAATAAGGAATAAGCAATGTCACTAAAAATGATGTTATACTGGATTGTGATGAGGAACAGGATTACAGTAATATCCTGCAGCTGGGAGCAACGAGTTGTACAGTTCTACTTATGCTGGAGGCAGCAGAACACCTTAGGGAGAGGCAGTCACTGCATTACCTCCATCCCAACTTCTGGTGCAAGAGATTGGAAGGCAGAAAGGCCTGTAACATGCCATCACATATCAAGAAGAAGAGTGCCTCCCTGCAATCATTTTCCTCTTGTCTGGCAATGGGTAGCACTCAGAAACTACTTTGGTATTACCAGGCTCTGCTGACCTCTTACCATTACCTGAGCCCCCAAGAGTTCATTGTTCAGAGAAGTGGGCTAAGAAGAGTTCTAGTCAACCTCAAGTTAGGCTCACTTTGGTTCCCAGAGAAAAGAGAAGAGGGAAATTAACATCCTGCCCTAGAATTTTTTTTTTGCCTTCATCACTGTTATGGCAAAATCCAGTTTTATCAGCATCACTGAGAAAGCTTTCAGTAGCTTGAGGATTAGAGAACATTATGGCTTCCACCCAGGACAGCCTTCCGGCTTTCAGTCCTCTCTTCCTAAGGATATATTGAGACAGTATATAAAAAGAGAGAGAGAAAGAAGCCATCATCATCAAAGTAGTCATTCTGTACTTTTCCAGCCCTCAGCAATCAGTAACCTTTCCATTTGCACCCAAGCAGTCAGTAGGAGACGTGATTTGAACAAGCTACTTCACTGATTTCCTAAGAGAGGACAAAATTCAGGGCATGACCTCTACTCCTTCCTTCTGGCCACAGCTTAGCTGAAGGCCCAGTATGTCAGAATCACCTCCATGTGATTCCAGGGACTAGTCTGGAATCAATTTGACCCAGTAAGTCTCTTTGATTGCATCAGGCCTTTCAGAAGTTTTGAACAACAAGGATCTAAACAGCAGGCAGCAATCTGCACAAAGCCAATCTTTTCAGTTCAACAATTTTTAAAGGTCTGTGTCTTTTTTCTTTTTTTTTTTTTTTTTTTTTTTTTTTTGGTTTCAAATGCTTTCCAACTGAGCAAATGCTGCAACGAGTTCATGGGAGAAGGCCTCGAGGCACCCCTGACTTTGGCACCATCATCCCATAGACACTCCATACATTTTTGGCACCTTGCAACAGACACGCTGACAGCCACAGGATTGATGGAAAGGGAAAGAAGCTGTTTTACAGTCAGAAGAGAACATACTCACATTTCTAAGGCCATTTGAAAGAATGCCAGAATGATACTGGATTTCGGCATTCTTAAGCTCCTTTAAGATGCTGCAGCAAGTGGTCTTTTCCACATGTGATGATGTATTTCAGGACAAGAGTTTCTTCAAGATTTTCCAAGCCTGTGGGCTCCTGATCCTTTTTCAAATTAAAGAGATGATAGCATACTGGGGAGAATTGTGATTAGTTTAAACTCTCCACAGCTGCAAGAGATGAATGTAAAATTCCACCCAAAAATCCACTTCTTCTGGATTGAATTTACCTACATGACACAGAGTCCTGGCCAAGGGACCACTTAAAAGGGCTGGAGCAGCATCAATGCTATTTAGTTTCTTCCATCACATCAACCCAGGAGAGGCTCACAACTCTTCTTCCCAACACATCTCCCCCAGCAGCACTGACATGGATCAGGCAGGGTATTAACAGTGACCTGAGATATGTGGGGAGGAAAATGGAACAATGAAATAAAAGCTTAAGTATGAGGGAATTCAGACAGGGTTTGCAACGCATTAATTGAAAAGCACAGAGAATTGTAAAATACCTTGTAACAGAGAGGCTTTGCTTGGAGCTCTTAAGGACAGCAGAACCCACTTCATCACAGGCTGAGAAATCTAGAGCCATCTTGGCAACGGGAGGGTAAAGCACTGTGCCTTCCATCTCAGCTGACCTAAGGAGATGGCAATGCTCTGTTTAGCTTAACAGGACCTCTCCCTCTAAATTGCTTCATTATACTTCTAAAAGAATAAAATAATATGCTGCCCTTGGAAGACTGGTGACTGACACCTCCCACGTCTGTCTGGATTTATTATCAGGGCCATAGGTGAGACCCACCTTTATGGGGCTTTCCTCAAAAATGCCTGCCCCGACTTCCCGGGCGCTACTGGGGATGCCAGCTGTGGAGTGATCCTGGTTTGAAGGGGACTGAGGCCGCTCGCTCCACAACTGCTCCTAATCTACGCCAAAAACAAAAACAAAAAAAGTTTAAAAAACAAAAACAGGTTTCTCCCGCGAAACCTAGCAAAGCCTAACCTTTTGGCTCTAAACAGACCAATATCCAGCCCCGTGAACTGTATGACAGATGCATGAAGTTTAACCTCTATTTTAAACCTTTCACTGAGCCCCGTGAGGAAGACAGACCCTGGCACCAAACCCTGCTCCCTCTAGGGGAAGTAGTCATGGTAAGGCGGGAAAGCCTAACATGGCATGCGTAGTCGTGGCCGAGTGGTTAAGGCGATGGACTAGAAATCCATTGGGGTCTCCCCGCGCAGGTTCGAATCCTGCCGACTACGGCCGCGGTTTCGTGGCTTTGTATTTTCCTTTTTTTTTCTTCTTCCCCTAGTTCACTGCCGAACGCCGGGAGCGGCGCAGCGGGGCGGCAGCAGCGGCCCGACCCCGCAGGAGCCACGGAACCACCCCCGCCGCGGCCGGGCGGGAGGGCAGACCCCGCCCCTGCCGGCGCCGCGGGGCCGCCTTGGCAACCGCGGGGCGGCAAGATGGCGGACGATCTAGACCGGCTCCTGGACGAGGTGGAGAGGCGGCTGTGCCAGCGGCACGGCATCGGCGAGGAGCACGAAGCGGAGAGGCGGCTGTGCCGGCGGCACGGCATCGGCGAGGAGGAGCCCGCGGCGGCCAAGGAGGGCAGGTTAGCGCTCCCGCCACGCTCCCGCCCCCTCACGCACCCTCCCCGCCGAGCCAGGCGCCGCCTGGGGGGCGCGCAGCCGTCCCGCCTGCCCCGTGCGGCCGGACCTCCCAAGAGCCCAGAACAGGCGGGCTCGGGAGCCGGAGCGGGGCCGACGGTCGGCGAGTGTCACCTGCAGCCCGTGTTTTTGAAAGACCCAAATGGTGTGCCAGCGAGTTTAGTTATTTCAGTCTTTGTCGCCTGCGCGTACAGCAGCCTTGGATTAAATATGGCGTTAAAAGCTGCAGTAATTTGCCTCTGAGTTAGGGTTGGGGATTATTTGGCTCTGTTACTGACCTTATGATATAACCTCTCTGTATGTAACTGACCTCAAATATCTATAAATCTCGCGATTTAGAGCAGGAAGAACTTTAGCAGTAGCATTATCACATTTTTTATTCTCTTGATACTTCAGTCATTTCACTGAAATCACAGAATATTCAGAATTGGAAGGGACGCACAAGGATCATTGATGTCCAGCTCCTGGCCCTGCCCAGGACACCGCAAGAGTCACACCGTGTGTCTGAGAGCATTGTCCAGAGGCTTCTTGGGCTCTGGCAGGCTGTGCTGTGACCATTTCCCTGGGGAGCTGTTCCAGTGCCCAAACACCCTCTGGATGAAGAAACTTTTCCTGATGTCCAGCCTAAACCTCCTCTGACACAGCTTCATGCTCTTCCCTCTGGTCTGCTTTTTTCTGTTCATCATTTTTCTGTTCATACTTTACTAACCATATCCACTACAGTAAGCACTTAACTTACATGCTACACTTTGAGGTATCTGCCTCAAATTCCACAGTTTTCAAAATGGTGATTTTGCCAGTTTGGTCCTGGCAGGGTCATTGCTTACAGTACTGCCAAGCATTCTGTGTCCGACGTCCCAGCCTGCCCTCAAGCTTCCATCCCAGACATCAGGTATCCATCCTGGCCCTGAGGTTTCCATCCTGGCCCCGACAGGCATCTTTGCCAGCCCTCGAGTTTCCATCCTGACCATCAGATTTACATCCCAGCCCTCACAGGCATCTCAGATTCCTTTTGGAAGGTCTGTGGACCAGAGAGGCTTGGCCAGATAGAGCTATCTCCACAGGTGAGCTGCTGAACACTTTCCCAACACACATTTCAAAGTCTCAGGAAAGGATCTTGAAGAATCCAATGACTAATGCAGGACTAGCATCTTTGGTCACATTACTGGACTTCCACATTGTTTGCATAATGGTTAGATGAGCACTTAATTTTAGTCTATCTAATTACAATCTTGGAAAAAAAATTGCACCGTTTTCTTCTTTCTTAGGAGTAGATTTGTTCTTGATTGGTTAATGCAGTGGTACTACAGGCCTCTTTCTTTGACAAAGAGCTAGCAAACAGCAGACTTGAGTGTTACTTGAGCAAAAGCAAGTGCAGGTGATCTTTCTAAATGCATCCAGGAATTCTCCTCAGGACACCTGCAGTTGTGTAGCTTGAGTAGAGACCTTCCTCTGACCTTATCATATTCCTGCTGCTGAAGATAAGTGTGAAAAATCAGGGTTGTCCAGTTAATTGCCCAGTAGTAGCAGGGGTTATACTGTCACACTTTTATTCACAGTTGGGAGTGGTTGGAAATTAAAAGAAGCAAGCAAAAATAAGACCTATGATGGGACAACTCAACAGTGACTGAAAGGTGTTATCCTGCAGTTTACATCTGTTCGGTCATGATTTGGATGGCTTACCTGAGGTACTACAAAAATATTAGGGGGAAAAGGCTGTAACTGTTTATATTTTTAAACTCACAGTTCTTAGAATTGCTGTAGTCTTGCTACAAAAATGAAGGCTGATTTATTTATTTTTCAGATCAGCTAAAGTGTTAATGAGTGCTGGCAGCAGCGAAGAAGATCTAGACAACATTATTGATGAAATCTGTAATGACAGCAGCTTTACCAAAACACCTCCGGTGAGTAGGGGTTTGCAGAACAAGTCAGATTCAACAATGGAAGTAAAAGCACCATAAGCTAAAACTTTTAAAGCAAAACATGAATGAAAGCAAGCTGTAGAATAAACTTGGAAAGTAAAGCAGAAAGGAAAATGCAGTAATCCTGTGGTGAGAAACAGGAGAGATGTCCTTACCTAGGCAATAACAGGAAATTAAAGAACATGCTAGTTCAAAATAGAGCATAGTGTCAATGCTCAGAATCACAGAATGGTCACAGTTGGAAGAGGGACCTCTGGAGATCATCTGGTCCAAGCACCTGCTTAAGCAGGACTGCCTAGAGCCAGTTGCCCAGGACTCTGTCCAAATGGCTTTCAATTATCCCTGAGGATGTAGACTGCAGCCTCTCTTAAGTAGCCTGTTGCAGTGTTTGACCACCCTCACAAGTCATGAAGGTTTTTTGTACATTTGAGTGGAAATTCTTGTACTTCAGTTTGCACCCATTGCCTCTCCTGGCAGTGATCCCACTGAGAGGAATCTGGCTACGTGTTCTTTATTTCTCCCTGACATACCTTCATAAGGTTCTCCTGACCATTGTTTTCTCTAGGCTAAACAATTCCAACTCTCTTAGCTGATACCTGGATGTCAGGTGGTCTAAATCCTTAAGGACCTTCATGGTCCTTTCCTGGGCCCACTCCATTATGTCCATGCTTCTTTTGTATGGGACATAGTGCTCCAGACATGTCTGTGAGGTCGTATCTGGAGTAATGTGATCTGTTCTGGTCTCTCAAATACAAGAGATTAACCTACTGGAGAACCTTCAGCAAAGGCCCATGGAGATGGTTAAGGGACTGAAATGCCTGTCTTATGAGGAGCAGCTGAGAGAGCTGGGACTGTTCAGTCTGGAGAAGAGAAGGCTCCAGGGGGATCTTATCAGTGTGTATAAATAGCTGTGGATGTATTAAAGGAGGGGCCAGGCTCTCCTCCATAGTGCCCAGTGACAGGACAAAAGGCAATGGACATGAAAACACACTAAATACCATCTGTACACAAGAAAACACTTTTCTTACTATGAGGGTGGTTAAACACAGGGACAGTCTTCACTGAGAGGTTGTGGAGTCTCCATCTGTGGAGGTGTTCAAAATGCAGCTGGACACAGTCCTTGGTGAGCTGCTGTAACTGACCCTGTTTTGAGCAGGGGAGGATCCCTTCCAGCTGAAATGATTCTTTGATTCTGTCTCATCAGTGCTGAGTAGAGAGGAGGGATCACTTCCCTGGACATGCTGGCAGCATCCCTCCTAATGCATCCCAAGATACTGTTGGCCCTCTGTGCTGTAAGGACGCGTTGCTGGCTCGTGGTCAGCTTGTTATTGACTGAATTTCCCACAGCCCTCTCTGCAAAGCTGCTTTCTGGCTGCTCAGCCCACGTGCTGTTCTGTGCATAAGGATTATTCCTCCCCTGGGGTGAGAGTTTGCATTTCACCTTAGCTGAACTTGAAAAGATTCTTCTCACCCCGTTTCTGGAAGTCATTTGAGGTCCTTCTTAATGGCAGCTCAGTCATCTGATACATCAACCACTGCTCCCCATTTTGTATCCTCTGCAAATGTCTTGTCACTTCACAGCAGGAGATGGAGATGAAGCTGCAAATTTACATTCTCAAGGCAGTTACAATGATAGCAGGCATTGAAAATAGATATTCATTTGGGTATCAGCAGTAGAAAATGGTGTTACTTACACTTCATAACCTCCTGCAGATTCCCATATTTTCACGAGTGACATTGTTTTTGTCTTGTTTTTGATTTTTTACAGAGTGATTAAATCTGAACCAACAAAAAATACTTCTGTACATCTGAAGGAGAGAGAATTATGCCAGTAAATTTGTATAATTTTATCATTTTATATCCCTAGAACTTCCCCTTTAGGATCTAGAGTTCTCATTCTAGAATTCAAATAAACTCTTCTGTGTGCAGCAAATAAGAAACCTTTCAAAGACTCTGTCTTTTTGAATAACCTAAGTTTTGATGGGTTTTAATTAAACAAAAGCTAAAAAACATCAAGGAAGAGGGTTTCAAATTATAACTGTTTTTAAAAGCAAAATTAGCAAAAGAAGGCCATGAAATACTAAGTCTTGATTGTAAAGTCTAAGTAATCATGTAGTGTGGAATTCCTTCAGCCAGACCTGGAAATTCAGTGTGGGAAGAGAAGCCTTGTTCCTCATTTACCTGTTACTTCACAGCCTGACAAACTTGAACAAGAAAATTCCCGAAGTCTTAGTCTCCTTCTTTTGTGACTGAAATTTTCTGGCTCCTGGTTATTAAGTAAAACAGAATATTGTGACTTTGCTGTAATGCTGCATTTTATTCTTTGGTTGTTTTTAAACAGAAGTTGAAGTCTAATTCTGCAAGTCTCACACCTGAAAGAAATAGTCTTGTTGTACAGGCACATGGGAAAAGGTAGGTGAAAAATGTTCTGGCTTGTTGGACATTGCTTGATTATAACTTCTTATCAGGCTAATAATACTGCTGTTGTTTAATCTGTGTTGGCATTTCTTAAGAAAGATACCAAGAAGAGACACAGTCTTTTTAAAGAAAAAGCAAAGATAAGCAGGTAATTTCAAAGAATTGTTAATGTGTTTTCTTGTGGTCAAAATTTATTATAAATTTATTAATTATTTGAACAATCTCTTCCTTTGCTTTATGGACATATACATTTATCAAGTGCTGCAATATGTAGATCTTTGTATATTTGGCATAGAGAATGTTTTCCATTGAGTTTTTCTTTGAACACTTTGATAATGGAAATTTTAAAATTCTGTACTTTACAAGCATTTGGATGCTTTGCCTATATGTAAAAAAATATTTTATAAATACTATGCTGTTAAACTAGGGAGAAATGTTATACTGCTTTCTCCAACCTGTTTTGCTGTAATTTAATATTTTTTAATGAATCCATATAGATGCTGTCCAGTGTACTTGGGTGGAAGCCTTTCACCATCTGGGATAGGAACAAATATTTCAAAAAGGTAGGAAACCTGAAAAAATATGTGCTACTTGCTTAATCATTGTTTTTATTCACAGCTGTGTTTCTGTGGTGGTACAAAATTCTGCATTTGAACTGGGCAGAACAACCTTAGAGTCATCTAAAGAAGTGGCTGCTTGTAACTGCACTTGAAATCAGCTGGTCCCTTCCAGCCCTCTCTTGTTGACCACTTGACCTTTTGTTTGTTTGAGGTGGTGAAAGATGCTTGCAAATGAGACATGAAACCAAAAATCAGTAACAAGTAGTTAAGGAAATTGCTGCTGTGTTGTTATTTTTCCCTGCCTCTCTTGATCTTTCTATGTGATGCCAAGTATGTGACTTAAATCAGTGGATTGGTTGAAATCTCCCAGAACCTGAACTGAAAATGGTCAGAGTACTTTGCAATTGCAGCTGAATTTAGCAGAGGAGGTACTTTGATGATTTATCCACAACATTCTTTAGAACATTACTGCATTTCCATGTGGCATTTTTTGTAGTAAGTAATTGTGCACTCAACAGATATTTGGGTGCTGCCCAGGTACTGTGTCAGTGAGGAAGACTAGGGAGAATATATCAAGTGAATATCAGTTTATTTTATGTGTTCAGTGAAGATAGGAACCTGTAAAAATAATACATGAACATATAGTTAAATCCCATACCATAATTCTGAACATGCCAGAGATGTAAAGGCATTAAGATTAGGTGACATTGCTTCTAGTCTTTCTGATTGCTGTACTTTGGCCCATTTATGGTGGATGTGCATTGTATCAGTCAGCTTCTCTGATTGTTCTTCTTTGTCCAGAGCGTGCGATCAGCTGCGTTGTACTGCTTGTGACTTCCGCGTGTCACTTTTCAATGACTACGTCTGGGATCAGTCCTGTGACTATCTTTTTTTCAGGTGTGTCTGGGGTGGCTATTAGTGTTGTGCTACCATGCTTTGGAGCTCAGTAAGAAAAGCTGAAAAGCCCTTAGCCGTGCTGTGTCACCTAAAAAGCATGCATGATACCTGTTTGGGATCAGGTGGGACAGTCTGTGGGGAGGGGGAAGCAACATCTCCCAAAATCTGTTTTCATCCATTTCTATCACCTCTCCCATGACTCTCCCTGTGCCTTTCAAAAATAATTCAAGTTTCATGGCTGAAAAGGCCAGGTTATTGCTGAAATAAGCAGGTAATCCATGTGATGGGTTGAACTCTGCCAACCAGTGCAGGGTATCTGCCATGTCACCAACATGAATACGGGCTGTTCAGCATGTGCTTTGTACCTCACCTTCACTCCTACAGACTCTGATGGTTTCAAGGCAGATGTTCTTTTTTCCACTATCAGGTGTGCTGTCATGTTCTGTGAAAATCAAATAGCTTTATTTCTTAAGATTTCTTTATTGAAATACATTATCTATTCTCTATATTCTCTATTGGTTAAGTGGAGAGGTGGGATTTTTGTTTTCTACTTGTATTGCGATGTTTTTAATTCTTTAAATAGTTTTTGAAGACTCTAAAGTAAGGAGTTCTTATTTCCAGTTCTCTAAAGCTAATGCCAAGACTTAGTGAAAGATAGTGTAGTAGGCACGTTCCTAACAGACATCAGATTTGGAGTCCTCTTATTTTAGTACAGTCTCTGTGTGAGCTTGGTAACTGATGGCAGAGGTGGATGTGTTCAGAGTATGTGCTTGGAGAGTCACATGACAGTCAGAGAAGAACATTAATGGAGATACTGGCTCCTTTTCCTTTATTTTTCCCATGTTACATCTTTGGTTATTCCAGTATTTTTCTTCCAGTCTCAAAATTCGTATTTCTTATTGAATACCATTATTTTTCCCATTACTTAAAGCAGTTTTAAAAATACCATGCTGCACTAGTCTCCTAAGATTAGTTTGATAGTGGAAAAGATTTAAACAAAAGTGAGATTCTTTTATTTACCCAAAGTCAAAATTATTTTGCTTCTCAGAACTTGAAAGTAATTAATGAAACAAAAGAAAAAAAAACACATGAGCGGTATTAGTATCAGATACCTGTAACATTGACTAAAATCTGTAATCTCTAGCAAGATACTTGCCTGTTTATTTTGAAAAACCTGAATTTTAGAAAGCAAACTTTAAGGTTAAACATTTTCCTTCCATCAATAGGTGTCTGATCTCTTCTTCTAAAATCCTTGATAATTGTTTTGCGTTTTCTTTAATTGGGCTTGTTAATGTTATTTTTGAGCAATTCAATGTCTAGTGGCCAGGAGGAGGTCATGAGAGCAGAGATAGCTAAAATGCTACATTTTCACTTGGATTTTTTGAAACAACTTGTTCTTGTCATAGCATGCTGATTTTTCATTTGTTATGGTTAATGGCTGCACAGGAATTATTTCTGGTTTGATGTCCATTCTACCTTCTTATGGCCATTTCATTTCAGTCACTTTAACAATCACCTTGAGTAGCAGTTCCTGATGAAAAATTTAACCCTATAATTTTACCCATTATGCATAGCGATTTTTACAGTAAGTTTGATAAGATAAATTCATTTTTGGGTAATTTTTTAACACAAGAATTAGCTTTGCTTGGTTTTCTTCACAATTCTTTCTCTGGAGGCTGACTGGAAATCTCTAAACCCAACAGATAACATTGTTTACAAAAACATCAGTCTGTGGTTTATCTGAGAACACAGAAACTACCCACTGAGACTGCTCTCAGGAAAGGAGTGTTCAAAACAGAATTCAAATGTATCCCTAAATTAATCCATGACAGCAGTACTCAGAATTGTCAAGATGTCTTCCGATTTGAAATGGCCTCATGAATATTTTTTCTTTAAAAAAAACCCAAAACAACCCAGAATGATCCTAACTTGAATTCACTTCTTTGGCAGGAATAACATGCCTGAGCTCAGTAAACTAAGAGCAAAGATGATAAAGAAGAAAGGAGCACGTGCATATGCTTGTCAGTGCAGCTGGAGATCCATTGATGAATTAACTGACCTGCAAACAGAGCAGCAGCTTCGGTGGGTTTGTGGTAAACATGGAGAATGAAGTCTTCTTGTGTGGGATATCTACTTGTCTGGAAATGGCTCTTAAAATCAATTTGTTTCCCGTGCAGTTCTCTGAGAACAGATGGAAAATTGAATACTTAGATCCAGAAATAGATTATAGCACCTTGAGACTCTTCCTCACATCTAGCAGAGAGCCTCATTTCCCATGTCTGCAGAATCCTGGATTCAAAATGGTGGGTTGGGAAACAACCATGACACACAAGCATATGAATTTCTGCACAGAAGTGAATCCTGCTCTTCTGCTTTGCTCATTGTTGTTAATGAGCAAGTGGTTGTTTATCTCTTAAAAAATTACTATGGGATCAGCTCTCATCTTCAAGGTTTCAGCACACCCCCAAACTTTACTTACTTTTACCCATCAGTAACCAAAACTGCAGGTGCTGAACATTTTCTTCCAATTCCTACTGCTTTCTTCAGAGCACTTTCTGCTGACTAAGGACTTCTGCCACAATGAATTTCTTGAACTTCTCTTCAGCCCTCACTGCACAAGAGATGAAAAAATTATTGTGCAATTATTAAATGTTCAGTTTTTAAATATGCAATTTTAAAGATTTTGAAGGGTATGTTACTCTTTTTATCAGTATTTTTAAGGGAAAAAGGCTCAAGCTTTTAAGAGTGAGAAAATATAAATCCCTACTGATGTTCAAATTCAGATTTTTTTTAAGTTTCACTTACCTTTCACTTCAGCTTCTCTTTAAAAAAATTTGTATTCAGAAAGTGCAACTGTCCTGTTTCAACATACTCCCTTCCCTCAGTAACTTGTTACTTGGTGAGTTGTGTTTCTTACAGTCAGTCACTATAGTTAATGAGCTTTTTCTTTTCATTATGTATACATAACACAGAAGATAGATTTCAGTTTTAGGCAGGGGGAGAGGGAGGAAGGAATAACCAGCCCTGTCATTTACTACATTGAAAAGTGTCTCAGTATGGGAAGTATGTCAGTGTTTTTGCTGTGCCGTATGTGTATCTGTACAGATAAATTCAGAATTACTTACTTTGCACAATTCTAGCTGTACAGAGCCATTTCCCTTTTTCTGAAGTTTTGCTCATGGTTCTAGTCTGTATATTTGTTCTGTTTCTGAGCCTTCCCAGAACAATTGTGTGGTCTTACAGAGGTGATTCCTGTGTCTGTCGCCCTCTGAAAGAGCAGATCTCAGTAGTGATCAGAGGCATCACACACTCTGCACCCTGCTTACCTTGTCCTTCCAAGAGTGCTTGTTCTAGAGCCTGCAGAGGCCCAGCAGTGTGCCTGGGAAGTCTGGCAGTGCTTCCTCGGTGCTCCAGACTGCTCCTTCCAGTGCCCATGCAGCCTTGCTGCAGTCAGAGGTGAGTTAGCTTTGGAGAGGTACTACTTGGCATGATGGTGTAGACATATTTAGGGTCATGTGTTGTTTTCAATGAATTTAGTATTTCGGGCTGAGGTTTCAACTCCTAGAGTCCAAAACTGCAGTTTCAGGACCAGGGACCAGTTGACTACTGCTCAGACAGCTCCTAAAAGAGCTCTGCTTGCCTTTCTGTCCTTTGTGAAGATGTAGCCCTGGTCTGGGCTGTATGCATTGAGTGTTCCTGGGTGTTCTTCAAGTGGGCCCAAGCGGCTTTCATGCCTAGAGAACATGAGTGCTAAGAATAAGAGAAGAACCCAGAGGCAGGTAACAAGCTCTTGGGAGGAAGAAACCTGCTTTCCATTCTTCTCAAAGAATGCATTTCAAAAAGTGCTGAGTTGTCTTGGCTTTTGTGTTTCAAGGCTATTTGAAACTTATGACAAAGTAATTCCACATGGTTTCTTTTGGCTAGAATTGTACTGGAACTTGTGCCACAGTGTAGAAACAAGTTGGACTTGCAATCTGTGAGCCAAAAATGGGGAAAATCCTAATTCCCATCTCAGTTCATGAGACCAAGTCTTATGTGACTAGGAAAGGGATGGTGGAGTGTCTCCTGTACCCTGAAGACCCCCCTGGAATAATCAGGTATATTCAAGTGTAATTGTTTCTGGCCTTGGTCAGAGTGGTGGAATATGACAGCTTTTTGTCCAAGGGAAGTTGTAAACAGGTACAGAATAGTACTTCTTGTACAGGTTTTCAGAATTTATCATATTTCTAGATTTGAGAATAATTGCTGCGTCATTAGATACAATTATTTTGTTGGAGGGAGGAGCAGTATTAAGATTTGATTCCCTTTCCTTTGCTTTCTTCAGTTAAATCTTACAAACCACTCCAAAGTCCTCAGATGAAAAGAATGTAAAGAAAGGTAAAACTAGGGCTTGAGTGTTCATCTGATGAAGGTATTGTCAGATTGTACAAGGTTCTCAAGATGTTGTAGCCCAGACCCTAAGTGATATTTCTGTGTTGGTTATCTGAGATAGGAGGGATTATGTACAGAATTCTGTTTAAGAGTATGTAAAGAATTCTGTTTAAGAATGCAACTCAGCTGTTGTCGAATGGAAGTACTGGAGAAGAGTGTTGCTAAGTATAAACATAACCACTGTTTTCCTCCAATTTTTTGCTTTGGAATATTAATACCATTTCCAATTGTGAAATGGGCAAGGTGAAAAGTTAACACTTTTATTTTGCTTACTGATACGCTTTGAAATTTTCTGGCCTGTCCCATTAGTCTGCAGCAGATCCCTCAAAAAAACAAGCAATGAAGGATGACAAAATGAGATTCCATCAACTTCTAATATGCTGCTCTGACTTAACTTTCACTTGTTTTACCTGCAAACTATGGAGGGTGAATATAGCTGAGAAGAGTCATTATTAAGACTTGACCTGCCATTAAAGTTAACTTACAGAAGCATAATATCATTACATATTGCTCTGCACTGTATTATATCAAATAAAGATTTTTTTTGTCCTAACACCTATTTTAGTTTTGTACAGAAGATATTCTGCAAATGCTGCCACTTGCTGAAAGACTGCCACTTCTCTTGTTTCCTGACATGTGAGTCTTTGGATCATGTCACCAGCACATGTGGTAGTCACACAATACATGAAGTGCTGTGTTGGGAGCTGCATACACAAATTTCTCTTCCTGCCAGGCCCTTTTTTCAAAAGACCGGACATTCTGTGCGTGGTGTGACACCTGGTAACTGCAGGCAGGTGGAGTAAAGGAACATCAGGTGCTGCTCATTTGTGAGGGCTACATCTGATGCCTAGGGTTTGGCTTGTGTGCTTTGAGAAAGTTCTTCAAATGTCAGCGCTTAATAAAATGAAAAGTTGGAACTAATCTGAATCTTGTGTTGCGTGAGTTCTAGTGTACTGTTCCTATCCAAGAGGAGCCTTATAAAAATGATGGTTTTTGTCAGAAGTGTTATGACATGTCCTTAGTTCAAAAGCATTGTCCAGCTCATAAGAAGCAATAAGTATTGTTGTGTTTTCTCACATCAGTGGGGATACAGCAAATAGAGGAGAATTAAAGAAGCTTTAACATTCTTTACCAGCTAACATGAGGAGAGCACATGAAATAGAGAGATCATAAAGGTGAAGGCATTTGCCACGCTTCTTGGATGTTTACTGAGGATAAAATGTGGAGGCAGGTGCTGTACAGGGTGTCAGATAGCTAAACAACTTGCAGAGTGGGGTGCTGGTAGCCTGGTGTATCAGTCATGCATTTGCTGTGGCTCATGTGCCCCAGGTCTTGCTGCAGGAAACTCTTCTTAGTACCAGGGAGGAGTTGCTCTGCATATGGAAGTTGGAACTTGTTTCTCCACCATCCAGAAATGCCGTGTGGCTTACATTAGAGTAACAAACATAAATACTTCCTGTACCTCATTCTGAATTTGGATTCCAGGCATGGGTGCTATTCAGGCAGTAATTATTTCCTCAACTTAATTGGCAGTGTGGACACAGTGAGGATCATCAGAAACTAGCCACTGCCTCAGGAGTACTCCTGACTTCCTGAGGACTTGCAGTGTCACAGTGGTGTTCATGTGTGTTTCATTCACTTTGATAACTTCTTTTTCTGCTGAGATAGAAGTACGTGATCAGGGTTAATATGTGATTATGCAATCCAGTCTGCAGAGGGCAGAGCAGCACCGCTGAGAGTTACACTTCAGGCTTCTGTCTTACTTGTTCATACTCCTATTTTTTTCTGTAATAGTGGTTTACATTCAGCAGACCAAGGCTTGCATTTGTCTCCTACTAGTGTCATTATAAGTGGGGTAGCCAGATCTGTAGGAATTTCAATTGATTTTTATATGAATTCATCCAAATGGTCTTTAAGTGGTCCTTGACCAATACTGAAGTAGATTAAATTTTTAACTGTCATGTAAAGAAGCATAAAAAAACTCTTTGTGTGTCTATATGTAGGTATATTTGTGTATGTTTATCCTCTAATAACATCAGTAGAAAACCTGAATTGCTTCGTGATTTTTTCACCCTGCCCAAATTAATTTTCCCTGAAAATGTTAAATAATTTTGGCAAATAGAGGTTGCATATGTTAGGATCTTCTAATATTCAATATAAATTTATATAGCACATCACCCAAGGTGACAGCTCTTTAAAAGGAAATAGTAAAAGTTCAAAGTTTAGATATAAAAAAAAGTTGTTCCTGTCTATGTAGGAAAGCAATGTAGACCAGAAATGCTGCAGAGCAGTCTGAGATACAGCATGGGAATCATCCAAAGACCTACATCCTGCAGTCCATCATCCATGAGCCATGGCTGAGGTTAGTGAAGTCTCACTCTCTGAACTCTTCTGGTTCTTTGGGAGTCCAGAAAGTAAGTGTACAAAGCAGTACACTTTTTTTTTTTTTTACATTTAAAGTGCATGGAAGTAAACATTATTTCTAATAACCAGTTGTGTCTGTTTCTGCAGAAGTGACACGGTGCTTTTAACTAGAATACAAACATAACTAAACCATAAAACTAAAGTTTACATATTTTACTCTTAAAATAGGGAGTATGATCTAAATTTAGCCTAGTTACACCATAGGTGAGTGGCCTCTGTGACACTTCATTCTTTATTTACTTAATTTCTTCTAAGAGGAGAAACAATTGAATTAAAAGTTTAATAGAGCAGAAAGGAACAAGCAAGGCTGAGTAGCACACTGTCAGAGGTTTCATATATATTTTGATAAAACATTTTTTCGGATAAGCAATAAGCAGTTTGTTTTTGTTTGCTTCTAGACACACGTAAGTGAAAGAAATAAAAAATACCATGCTGCAGGGAGAGGTTCAAATGTCCATTTGCCAAAAGCAAGGACAAAACTTCACATGGGAGATGTCCTTTCTAGGAATCTTTTATGATTGCAGTTCCACAGGCTGGCCCAGAAGATGGAGGTGAATCCACCACCCCCACCTCCCCGCTAATTCCCTTTTTCAGGGTTTCCTGTAGTATTTTGAAACCTGTTTCCTGTTGTTAGGTTTTACAGATAATAGCTAACATAGATATTATATTTAGATATCAGAGCTAAGATATTCAGGGTTTGTAAAACCCTCTTAGACAGTGGTTAAAAACTGTTATTCAAATATAAGCAAAAGATATTGAAGTTTTTAAAGAGAGTTGGGTGAAACTAAAACCCTTGCAGCTTCAGAACTTTTTGCTAAAGGACTGGGAGGCAGAGAGGAGGAAAGGCATTTTCACAGCAGTCAAACCAGCACATAACATTCTAGCTCCTTAGTACCTTAAATTCCTCTGCCTAGAAAATGTGATTGCCTGCAAAGAGGAAAAAATGTTCACTATTGAATGGTGATCTGATGTTTATGATGTACCCATAGAATTTTTCAATCTCTCTTTGAAGGCAAGCCATATTGCCTCTCTAAGACATTGCAGTAGATTTGACAGTGAGCACACATCTTCCAGCTAGGAGCTTTGGGATAGTCAGCAGTCTGAGTGTGCTTGGAATTCTGTGTCCTGACTGCCCTGATGTAAACAGCATTCACAGGAAGGGGGAAGCAGTTAGCAGAGACAGGAAGGCTGAATTTAGCATCAAACTCCTTATCTAGGCAGAGCGGGCTGCTCAGGATGCTGATAAGAAAAAGTGTATAAATTACTCCAGCAGCCTGTGATAGCTGCCTGGCCCTTCCTGGGAAGACCATTCTCATCAGTGTAATCAGAGTACAATCTTACACGTGCAGATGCGTTTAGGAAGGGATTATATCTGGGGACCACTTGTCCAAAATAATGCTTCATGTACTACAGTCTCATTCAGTCTGGTTTACTGGCACTTGAAGGAAGAGATTAATCTGCATGTTGAAGTAGGAGGTGTGTGGGGTTTTTTATTTAATTTATTTTTAAAAATAAAAACTTTGTCATAGTAAGAGTTATTATTAGTCTTGCTAGCCATAAAGGAATATAAACCTTTCCTGAATCTGAACATGCACTGCAATATCTGGTTTAATTTTTAGATTACAGATTTTATATCAGTGCTGGCACAGCTCTGGTTCCACCTCTTCAGAAATAAAAGCTGTTGCTGCATTGTCTTAAGTGCTTTGGGTCAGTGAGATGTCTTGTTTACAAGTGGCAGATACATGGCTTCAAAACACTATTTGCAGTGTAATTAGTTTCTCATTAACATACGATGTCATTTTTCCTTTTGATTTATGTGTGTCTATATTTTGGGAAATCCATCTGCTCTGAGTCTACAGCACAGCAAAGCACCATTCCATCAATATGTGCTCCTCAGTGGCTGAAGTGGCACAAAATGCTAGGCTCCTCCACAGTGGTGGAGGAGCCTAGCATTTCTATGAATGATGACTCTCATTTCTCATGTCTTCCCCAAAGTATACTGAGAAATTGTTTTGGCTAAGATTGAGACCTGGAGGCAGTTTAAAACAGTCTTTTAGTTGCTTCTTCACACACATAGAAGTATCTTTGCCTTTCCTTTTCCCTTTCCCCTTCCCCATCCTCCATGCTAGATTTATATTTATTTCCATTCTAGTGAGGAAGGCTAGAAACAAACTATGAAAAAGGAGAGTGGTATAAAAGAGTCTGCCCATGCCCTGAGCAGCAACAAAGCAATCTGTCCTGAGTCATTGCAAAGATGACATTCTGGATTTGAATGGCTAAAGTAATTCAAGTCAAGAGGATATTGGGGTCTATCTGTTCTGCTCACTGAATGTGAGTACCACACATCTCCTGAGCACAAGAGGATGTGGTGACACAGCTGTCAGCAGTCTTAGCACTGGAGTATCCAGCCAGGTGCTCCACACCAGGGTTGCTAGGGTAAGCCAAAATCTTTAATCCTTCTAGTTTTGCAAGAGTTTTATCTCTGTGGTATGTTGCAAATCGTTCCTCAAACCTGGAGAACACTATTCTTTATAAAGTATATGTTTGTAAACTGGATAATTTCCAGATGTCAAATCAGTTGGCAGACTTTACAATAACAGTTCTCTACTCCGGATTCTCAGCCAGTGCTGGACATGTGGTTACCTTGGGTGTTTTCAGGATCCATCATAAGGCAAATGACACCTTTAAGTAAGTAGGGGAAAAACAAGCAGCCTAATGGGCACCTCGTGGCAGAGAGCCATCAGGTTTATACACATTCTCACATCATTGTTCAAGAGGGTAACAGGCCATAAAAGAATGAAGCAGCTACTTTCCTTTTCTGTCAGATGTTGCAGGTTACTCATATTTCCTGTCCTGCTTTTTAAAGGACTAAGGGCTGAATATGATAGTTCATTAACTTGTCTGGAATTAAATATTCTCCTTTTTCTACAGCCATGCTCAAATGAATTACAGTAACATAGGGCTGCAAGGCGTCACCTTCTGCCTTGAGACAGGAGTACCCCTACAGGAAGCTCAGGCTGAGCCCAGGTGCAGGTTGCTATAAGAAATGCCCCTCCTGTCTGCAGGGGAACTGGCTACAGGATGCATCAAAGAAAGTGGCACCACGTGTTCCATGCCAGCTGCCCCGTGTGTCCCAGGAGGAAGGGAAGGAACACCCTTCTCTCCCTGCTGACTGATGGGTTGGGCTGTGTCCTAGCCAAGAAGAGAAATACCTGGGAGAACAGGGGAGAGCTGCAATAAGCTAACATCACAGTGGGCTTTAGGCACTTGATGATATTTTTGACAGTCTTGCTTTAAGTGAACACATACATGCTTCAAACATTTTAAAATAAAACATTGCTTCCCGCAATTTTTTTTTTGCTCCTGTTGGCTGTTGTTTTCTTTATGGACTTAAAACTATGCTTATTCTTCCTCCAGAAAAATCCTTATCTCTGTCCAAATGGCCTGGGAAAAGCTTAGGGCATGCTTGCAAAG